GCCACTGCACTCCAGCCTGGGCAACAGAGCGAGACCCTGTCTCTTAAAAAAAAAAAAAAAAAATAGGGTCTTAGTATGTTGCCCTGGGCTGGTCTTGAACTCCTGGGCTCAAGTGATCCTCCTGCCTTAGCCTCCCAAAGTGCTGGGATTACAGGCCTGAGCCACTGTGTCTAGCCTGGGACATGATTCTTAAAACTAGTCTTGCTCAATTAACATGTTTTCCTCCATTACAAGTAAAAATATTGAGACAGTTATGAATTTAAATGCTTTATAATTTGTTACATGTAAGGACTCATAAAGACTACAACTTTGTTTAGAATGAGGTTTCCTTCCCTTTGCATATTTTTATTTTTATATTTTTGAGATGGAGTTTCATTCTTGTTGCCCAGGCTGGAGTGCAATGGTGTGATCTCAGCTCACTGCAATCTCCACCTCCCTGGTTCAAGTGATTCTCCTGCCTCAGCCTCCCTAGTAGCTGGGGTTACAGGCATATACCATGACGGCCAGCTCATTTTATATTTTTAGTAGAGTCCGGGGTTTCTCCATGTTGGTCAGGCTGGTCTTGAACTCCTGACTTCAGGTGATCTGCCCACTTCCCAAAGTGCTGGGATTATGGGTATGAGCCACCACACCTGGCCCTTTTCATATTTTAAAAACCTGTGTGAGTGATTCCAAACATCAATTTCTTACATAGCGTATGGAAAAGGGAAGGAATCCAGGGCAAGATAAGGATGAAAGGGTGAGGCCAAGAGGAAGGCTTGATCACCTGGAGCCATAAGAAAGAACCAAACCTCGAGACATTTGGCATTTTGAAGTTTTGAGAACACTTTATAGCCACAAGTCTCTAAATGTTTTCTGTAGTGTTTTAATTGCAAAAGTAAGACTAGCTCATTATTTAAAAAATTATAAACAGTCAATATTTAAGAGAATGAAAATTCATCTCTGCCTCCTCCTCCAGCTCCCACCCTGGCTGGTTTCACTCCTAAACACGTGTAGTTATCAATTTTGGGGGTTAGGGCCTCCAGACTTTTTCTCTACAAATGGCAAAATGTGTCCAGAGTTATTTAGTTTTGAAAAATTTATTATTTTGCAGCTTGCTTCTTTATCAACTTTTTCATTTAAATGTCAAAAATGTGATAGTATATGTATAGTTAACCATATTTCTATTGGTGGGCCTTGAGGTTATTTCTAATGATGCTTTAATAAACACTCTTGTAAATATGGTACATCTTTTCAAACTTGTGTGAAATTTTGAGGGTAAAAGACCAATTCGTTAGTATACTGCTTATTTTATAATTCAAGTAACACAGTGTTATCAACATTTACATATTCTGCTATTTGATCCCCCAAATAGTCACTCAGCAGTGAAAATGCAGCAGTGGATGTTATAGGGATTTCAAGGTTGGGCAATGCATCCTTCTTGCTTACCAGAGGTCACTGATAGGGGGATTAGGCATGCGCATTGACTACAATAGCTTTAGTTTTATTTATATTCCCCTTTGTTTCTTTTTCTTTTTTTTTTTTAGACGTGGTTTCACCGTGTTGGTCAGGCTGGTCTTGAACTCCCGTCCTCAGGTGATCCACCCGCCCTGGCCTCCAAAGTGCGTGGATTACAGGCATATTCCCCTTTGTTTCAAACAGGATTTGGAATTGTTTACAAAGATGCATAGGATGACAAGATAAAGTGTATTTGGTATAAAGAAGGAAAAGCAGATGGAAGTGTAAGTGAGGTTGGTCAGTGTATTTTGAAGTTCTGATTTCTCCTTGCTAAAAGTTCTGGCTATAAGCTTTCCAGCAGCAAAAAGAAGAGGCAAATGATCCATAACAAGTTTCAGGTGTTCAAAAGAGAAACCACATCAGAGAAGCCCACCTATTCCTGTTTCCAGGAGGTGAGAAAAAAATTCTCTTTTGGATTTTCATTAAGAAAACACTGCGTTTGCAATGGCCAGCATCTAAACAATC